TGAGTCGGGAATTTATCGACAATTTTCAAAGCACTCGCGGTATTACCTATTCTATATACCCCGGCAATGCAAGATATTTCATCTAGTATTTTAATCAATTAGAATCTGATCTCTATGCCTGAAGTTGAACGGATAAGCTCTCTTGCTCACCGCCGATATCTCACTCGCTCTCGTTCTCTCTCTCGCTCTCAATCTCTCTCTCTCTCTCTCTCTCTCTATCTCTCTCCTCTCTCTCTCCTCTCTCTCTCCTCTCTCTCCTCTCTCTCCTCTCTCTCTTCTCTCTCTCCCCTCTCTCCTCTCTCTCCTCTCTTTCTCCTCTCTATCTCTCTCCTCATTCTCTCTCTCCTCTCTCTCCTCTCTCCTCTCTCTCCTCTCTCTCTCCTCTCTCTCTCCTCTCTCTCCTCTCTCTCCTCTCTCTCCTCTCTCTCCTCCCTCTCTCCTCTCTCCTCTCTCTCCTCTCTCTCTCCTCTCTCTCGTTCTCTCTCTCGTTCTCTCTCCCGCTCTCTCTCTCTCACTCACTCTCACGCGCGCGCTCGCTCGCTCTCTCCCAATCCCAATGTGACGAACAGTGTAATAACAAAGCAAAGCATTTGGCATTCAGTTAATAAAGAAGGCTTGTACAGAGAAATTGTATTCTTCTTGCCCGCCCTTCTAATGATTCGTGTGATAGCAGTGAGCTGTTCTCTATTGTTCCTGGGTCATTTCCTAGAATTGTTAGTTTCAGTGATAGTTCAGACAGTGATAGTTCCTAGTATTCAGTGATATTTAAAAAAGTGGTAGTAGCATAATCACGGGGTCAAATTGATTGTTCGCTACTGGTAACACTTTGATAAAAACGAATATCTCATTGAAGTAGCCTTAAGGGAGGTATTAGCAGTGTTATCTTACCAGTTACGGTACCGCAAAGGTAACGAGCATTGTTTACATGTGCGTGTAATCGAATTTATTGTGTTTCATTTAAAGTAATAGTATTGACTTGACATCTTTCCCCCTCGTAAGCAACCTGCGCGAGCCGTCACTGGGCGTCAGACTCAATTTATTGGAACATGTTTAGTGAGGCTTGCAGATGATAGATGCCAGCGTCTTGTTGTTCGTTGCAATTGAGACGGAACGATTTTTGATTAGTTTTGATAATTTGCCAACAAATTAACAAATTACATAACCTATGGTAATGACGTTTTATTTTTGCTGCATTAAAATACAATGGAGAAGCTAAAGTGAAGCGAAGTTCTTCCGTCCTCTTCAATACATAATCTGAGGAGGCTTTGAGGACGTATAGTTCATTGCTTTCAGTTAGTGTTTTCAGAAGCAAACGTTCTTGTGTCTCTGTCATTTCTTTTGCACATAGCACACTTTCCTTCTTTAATCCTCCTAGTATGCACCGACAAGGTTGGATTTGGCCCTGTCCACCTACTTTTAGACTAGGAATTGCATAAATAAACCGTATCAATGTCGGCGATTGTGGTTGTGATCCAGATAACACACCCATGAGACACTGCTCAGAGCAACATCCGGTTGCATCAAAAGCCCATCCAAGAGATTGTAGTCAGCTGGCAACGCAGAAGGGAGCGTATTTCGGCGATTGATGCTGAATCATAGGAGACCTCTTTAATCTCTGTAGGTCTCCTTGTCGAGCTGCAGCTTCTGAGTTATTGGATGCACTAGGTCTGAATCTCTAAGGCCTTACAGTGCCTACTGTGGGGCGAGTCACATTGAAACTATTCATCATATCATTGAAATATTTCCCTATTGCACATTAAAAAGAAAGTGAACATCTAAACTTTAACCCGGTTGTTTTGATTGTTTGAATGGAAATTGTTCTACTTTGTTTAATGTTTCAACTGTTCAACTTTGTTATTTTTTAATATTTTCCTCACATTTTAAATAAAATGGTGTTTTCCATTGTATACTGTATGTCATTTTATACTGTATGTCTTGTCAGAATGCCTCCTTCTTACGATCCAGGCCCCCAGAAAACCCCGAAACCGAAGCCTCCCAGAAAAAAACTGAAACCCGCCGATACCTCCCCCAAAGCAGGAATTCAGACAACCTCCTGTAGTAAGTTATTAATCCTGATGTCCATTTGGTGTGTAAAAGGGTAGAAATACCTTTGCAAGATAAGTCGGTGCTTTCGCTAGTATTTTATTTTCAATTAGAGCATTGAGTTAGAGTTTCATGACCTGAATTAAGACATTAGAAATTGGTTACTAGCGCGTTAATATTGCTCATTCTCAGTGATTGCTGCCATGGCTTGCGTGGCTAGATAAACGTTTATTGTGACAGAATACGACCGTTAGAGGGGATGTATATTACTCATCCTACGAGCATTCACTACCGTTAGTTCGTGTGAGAAATTCGTCAACTCCATATCGCATTTTCAATGACCGATAAGATGATATCTTAAGAATTGTATTTGAGCCAGCCATGACCCATTTAGTAGACGAAACAAATACTCACCATTTATATTTGTCTTCATTTTTAAGTTGCAGGGTTCGGATTTTGTTACTTGCGAATTATTCAAGACCAATTTACAAGACAGTTGCAAGATTTTAATGAAACGAAGTGAATGGTTCAAAGCACAATGCGTGAAAAATTACTATAAATATCCCTACAAATACAATCCATGAAAGAAAACTAGAGATACTCCGACAGCACATACTTGCGCGAATTATTGGAGATACAAACGAAGACAAATTATTATAAAAATGCTATTTAAAAGAAGAAAAAAACACTTTATTGACTCAAAACAGTAGAACTAAACTACAGAACTGAAGAAGCTGCAAACGGATTCATACTTGTTGTAAGCACCTTTAGCAGGAATCAGAGCAGCGTTTCCCAACTGGTGGAGAAATGACGTCGGAGCTCCGTTCCCCTCCGCGGACGCCTGCTCGGTGAGGCAGGGTGAGCAAAGGGGGTAGAAGAGAGGGGCAGACAGCGGTCATCGATGACGAAAACCAGTGGGCCTTTGCCGGTGTTTCAGGGAACGTGAGTGGGATACTATCAACACCTGTTAATTTTCTTAACAGTGGCGAAGTGTTTAGTGAATTCGAAAGAACTGCAGTGTATTAAAGAGTTCAACCGAGAGAAGCATTACGCAGCTTTGCAACTCAGAAAAACCCGCGAGATGAAAATAATTTCTGAGAATTTACAGATAGCCTACAATCATAAAACGAGAAAAAGATTTTGCTGATAAAAGATTATGAGAAAGGAATTGAAAATCACGTGGATTTACAACAACCTAAAACAGAACTGTACTGTATAAATAATCGAGCCTGGAGTCCAAATTCTCCCACGTGACCCTTCCCGGGTATCTATTTGTTTACATTAACTACACATACAAACAAAATAAAAAAGTTAAAACTGTCTTCTCCAAAAATGTTACGTGTTAAAAGAATAGAAGTGAAATTACAGTACTGGTTACGATAAAGAGAGTCGGATATTACGTCGTCGATTATGTGTTATGTCGGAGATTATGTGTTATGAAATAATGCACGTTCTATTTTTTCATTTTGCATATTTTTTATCGAATATCAAACATTTAAATAATAATTACCATTTAAAAACGAAAAATAAATTGTCGATCAAACCTTTTTTCCCCACTTCCGTACCATCATTGGAATACTGTACATCTGCCGTCGCGTTCGGCACTACCTTTAGTCCGCGGCTTGATTCATAGCAGGAGAGCAGATTTTTGTGACGTCACAGAGCATTGAGTTGGCAAGCACTAAATTACGGCAGTAACTCGCATGGGCATGCCTTGAAGGATTTTGCGACCCATGCGCCTCCACTCCTCTTTCACAGTTGGGGTCGGGTTTTGGATAAGGTCTTGACCTGGTATATGAATTGATGAATTGCAATGAACACGGGCAAGCGCTCAGAAAAAAATTACCCCGCCCAAAGACGCCCCCCAAGAAAATATGCAAATATTGCTAAAATGGCATGGTTGTCATTGCAATGGATATAGGTGTTACAAAACACACTTATATTTGCTTAAATGAACATTTAAATCGAAAGATGCATTTCCAAATAAACACTCAACACATTACTGAAATAACGATTTTCCCCCAATCCAACTAGTACACTTTTACGCTTATAATTTTGTCACAATATTTCTAAATCGCAAAGTTTCTACTGGAGTCAGATTGACCGGGGAATATTCATTTTGAAAACATTCTAAGTATGGTATAGACGCTATGGTGTTCACAGATGGGCGGACAGACAGACGTTCTGAAAAAAAACCAACACTTTATCGGTACTAGGAAACTCAAAAACATTTCCGTATTTCCGTTGAAATCTCGAAATCGATTTGTCGCATCATTACATAACTTTCTCTATACTACTTCTATTACGCCGTATATACGCACGTATACGAGAAAGTGAAATGTGAGTTTTACATTCAAGCAAATGGCGTTTCTTTGTTTGAATCCAAAGGTATTAATAGCTACGAAAAAGATCTCCACCTCTGTAATCTTCTGCCTTCATTAAATTGTGAAATTGAGAGATTTCTTAAAAGAACCAAATAAATCCAAAATTCCATATTTTGATATATTTCACCACGTTACCCTACAACTGGTGCTATCTGCTGGGCAGTTTTCTTTCCACAAGTACAAACACATTGAAAGATATAAGGCTGGGAAAAATCATAAATGCATTACAATGCACATATTAGCTATAAAGTTTTTTATGTCTCCTCAAAAATCTCGAATCTTGACTAGTTTGGTTCTTGTGAGAAACTCTTCAATAACAATGAGTCAATAGCGCAAAAACTGTTCACAATACAAGAATAATCTATTTTCATATTCGTCAATTGCTTCACAATATTCTTTTTCACATTTTTTATTAGAATACAATATTATTCATTTCATAATCTCTTTAAAATGCAAATAAAGACAATCCAGAAAAGTGGCATTCGCAGCAGAATCCATCTGTGTGACGAATGTTGGTGAGTGAGGCGGTACCCTTCCATTCTTTCGCAGAACGCGGGTTTCGTGCAAGGCCGCATGATCCGTCGCGGCCGCGTCCCGAAGAGCACAGACGGCGCGTTCTGGCACTGGAAGGACCTCAACGTCGGCATCGATCTCGCGTTCTACGGAAAGGTACACTCCACTATCTCGCACCTGGCCTACCTAATCAACTGTTTGTTCAAGTGCTTTCTGCCGTTTCTCCCACTCAAACACACATTCGTGGTTCCGGGTAGCAAAATGTTAAATTCACTGCGCGTCTCTTGGATCGAGGGTCAATTATGCAAGAACGGGTTTTTATTATTTTGGAATAATTTAATTGTTTGCAATTACTTATTGACCTTCCCTGATCATTCAGTAATCCTCAATGATTCATTCCATTCAGACTGTATTGTCGATCCGGATTGCCGAGATCACTAAGGCAGTGACGATCTCGGATTGAAGGATCGTGACCCAACTTCGATTTTTTAAATGTAACTCTACAGTTTTTTTAGCTCATCACAACAAGCGTCGAGAGACGAGTTCATAAATATGCATATCGCCATATGTTACATAACAAATGTTTCGAGAAATTACGTTTTAAAGTCGCACGCCGACTGCTGGTTTCCGTAATCTGAACGAGAAATTCCGGGTGATATGCGGCGAAGCCATTCCCTTCCGTTGCGTCGACCCTGCTGTAAAGGTAGAGATGCAATGTGCAAAGGAGCTCACGAAAACCCACGATTTGCTTTTTAAGACTTCACCCTCTAAGTCCTGGAGACAATGTATTCACCCATAGCCATGTTCTGAGCAAATCTGTACGCCAAAAGGTACTACTTTTTAATTAATTAAATACTACAAGTTTTGAGAAAATGGTTCAATTATTAATCGTAGAGAAAGATAGGGAAGATTGGAGAGTGAACATGTTCTGAATTAATAAATGCGTGTGCTGTCAGAAACAAAACGTTTACTTTGAAAGACTGAAAACCTCAGCCGGTACAAAGATATCGTGTAAATAAAAGTAAGAAAAATACTTTAAAATACAGAAACAAAAGGTAAGTTAACAATTTTAGAAATATCTTGATTTATAACATGTACTCAATACGTGCACCATAAACGGATATACACATTTGAAGACGCTTGTAAAGAGACCTTCGAACAGAATTCAGAGTTCCACGTGAAATGGCATGACAAGATGCGGTAATGCGGTGCCTCAGATCTTCAGATATTGTTGGTACTTGTGATAAAACTTCGTTCTTTATCGTTCCCCATATAAAATAGTCCAGCGGCGTAAGATCAGGTGAGCTTGCACGCCTGTTTACTACAACAACGCGCCCAATCCATCGGCCGAACAACTTCTCATTCAGTACTTGCCTAGCCACAAGCGCGTTGTGGGCTGGACATCCGTCATGTTGCATCCACATACAATTTATCATACCCAGGGGAATTTCCTCCAGAAGCAGCGGCAATGTTTTACGGAGAAATCTTGCGTATTTGTTTCCTGTCAAATGTCCGTCCATGAAATAGGGACCTATGATGGTGTCGTTAAGAATACCGCACCAGACATTAATACTCCACTGCTTTTGGTTCTCAACTTCACGAAGCCAGCGAGGATTGTCCACTGCTCAGTAGTGCATGTGGCGTAGATTCACCTGACCGAGATTCGTAAATGTTGCCTCATCGGTTAACATAATCGTCTTAAAAAATCCTGATCATCTCGCACGTGTTCCAGAGCAAAACGACAAAACTAAACACGTTTCTGGTAATCACCATCATAAAGCTTCTGGTGCAATGAAATGTGGTAGGGGGGAAACTTGTTACTCTTCAAGATGCGGAGGGCATTCGAACGACTAATGCCGGAATTTCTGGCTATGTCTCGAGAGCTGATGTGGGGATTGTTGTGAACAGCTGCCAGAACGACGGCCTGTGCTTCCCCCTGCGTTGCCCTTCTGTTCCACAAACGAGTCTTTGCGTTCCAGTCGCCTCTCTGCACACGGCTTTTACAGATTCTCATTATAGTCATGTGCGAAGGCCGCCATCGATCTGGATATCTTTCAGCGTACAGTAATGCACTTATTTTGCTTTTCTGCCACTTTCACCGTACATCAGAATTTGGTCCAGCTTCTCCTAGTTCGTATACATTTTCCCGGATATTTCTGCACAATTTCACTGCCTTTACATATTTCTTCAAAATCTAGAGAGTTCCCGTTTAGTTCTGACTGCATTTCCTTTCTCCACCTCCCTTTTATTCTACCTACCCTTCTAACGTCACTTTGAGGCATTTCCTATTTTCCCACTTTACTCGGCCGACGCAACGGAAGGGAATGGCCTCGCCGGAATCATCCGGAATTTCTCGTTCAGATTACGGAAAGCAGCAGTCGGCGTATGTCTTTGAAATTCTTAATTTCTCGAAAATTTTGTTATGTAACATATGGCGATATGCATATTTATGAACTCGTCTCTTCACGCTTGTTATGATCTAAAAAAAATCTGTAGGGTTTCATTTAAAAAATCGAAGTTGGGTCAATATCTCTGCAATAAAAAATGCAATAGAATAATATTAAATGACCATATGTGCCTCTTGCATATAGTAGTTTTAGTGAAAACCGCATCTCAGGTTCAGAAGAAAATTGAAGGGAATATCTTAGGTGAGCCACACGGTATAGTAATGCCGTTTAGATGTGGTTGCTGTTGATACGATGTTTTCCAATTAATTCCATAATAGAACATTAGGTCTTACTTCTAAACACATTGGAGTTTTGTGACATATTCCATTATAAAGCAATTGTACACAACAGTACAAAATACTCAACAGTACGAATTAAAGTTTCAGTATTACTTTATAAATTAATATGTAAGAATACTGTTGTTGAGGCAAATTTGACATAAATAGACAAAACTTTACTGTACTATTATTTATTTTACTGTGATTCATTTTTAATTTCACATTATTTACTATATTTGACAACATACTACACGTTTTTTATAACAATGACTAATATTGGTTGTACACATTAACTGAGGGGTACAGTAAGTCTAGGTACAAATATAAATTATTTTTCACATGTCTGTATACGTTTTCCTAAAATCAAAATGTATTCAGAAACATCAGAGTAAACAGAACGACAATTTAGTAATTCCCAGTATTTTCAGTAAACAAACTTTGAGTGATCATTTCGTAATATGTCCAGGTAAAACTAATTTATTATTAGTTATCTGAACTTGCTTGCTAGTGCCCTATAAGGGAAATGGCACAAGAATAAGAAGTATCATGATATTGCGTGCTATTACGAAAGTAATAATCACTATATCACTAATCACGTAATAAGCACTATTGAATACTGTCTTCCAAACTCTTAAAAGAACTGTGAATAAATATAAAATGGTTATCCACTCACCGAAGTAATACATTCTGCTGTTCTCAAGGTGTTCCACACAGTGGACTGTGATGCCTTCACGTGCGAGTACCTTCGCAGTCAGGGCGTGGAGTTGAACGCCCCCGAGCAGATGCCCGACGACCCCTACTCCCTCGAGCGCCGCCTTGTCGTCCCCGCGAAGACCACGGTGTCGCCCTCGCTCGACACCAAACTGCGTCGCTTTCTGGAGTTCGGAGGCAAGGTGAGCAAATGGCCTTAGCTGTAGATGATACCTACTCTACCTGAACGTTGGCTGAAAATGGCCCATTGGTTTGAAACCTGATATGTCAAGGACGTTTACTGCAACACACAAATGAACAAATCTGCTGATACAAGTGTATTCGAGTACAAAATTCCTTAAATAGAACGGGATCTCATCATTCAAAGGCACTCTAAAATTGAAAAGGCCGGGTCGCTGAAATTCCAGGAGAGAGAAGTCTTGCTTGCAGAGTCGTCTTCAAAGGGTAGTACGAGTATTTCCTAGCGCTTTTATATTTAGGACGTGTCACTCACACTCTTGATTAACCGTGTCTGGATGGCGGTTCTGACTTTATGAAGGGTCGAAGTTCAGAGCAAATCTGCCACCCTGGGTTCGCCTTAGGAGACCTGTCGCCGCAGAGTGCTCGGTGATGAGCCGTATCTGAGCCAAATTGAACACCTGATCTTATGAAAGTGAGCAGGGATGTGGAATATGTTAAGTATACTGAACATTTTCTGTTTAAGCATTTTCTTTGTCCAGAAGGGTTGTAGTGTGTTCTGATTTGTGAATACTTACTGTACAGCTCCTAAAACATCAAAATTGATGGGGTAGTATAGCTTACTCGTGTAACAAACTGATGTTTACTCTGATTAGTACTCATTTTTCACATATTGTGCTGATTGATAGTATAGGTATAGGAATATAACAATATAACTTGAGGGCATTTCTCAACCTACTAGAGGTTTTCAAATTGGGGAGGTGTAAACATACTTCCATAGTTTAGTAAAATATTTTATTCTATGAGATTCATTGTATAATGCGCAAATGTAATGATGGCTTCGAAGGACAATTGTTTTATAGGTAGCAAGTCACACAGTTTTAAGTTTAGTGTTTTCTACATTGTCGGCTACTCTAAAGAGGATATCAATAATGTTGGCTCGGGATCTCTCCTCAATGATTCGCCTATGGTCCTGATAACGAGATCATCGTTTTTCGTTTTATACGGGTGTCGTATGAAGGTTGGCGCTGAACTCTCCTATACAGTTTCTCTTCTCTCGTTTGGTGTGTAGCTCCCCCACTTAATTTTTAACGCTGGTATTGTTTTTTTTTTCAAAAGTCTGCACGTTTACTTTTAGTTTGAATAGTGTAGCGTCGTGTCGCGCTACAAAACGGAAACAACTATGTAACACTCGGCGGGCATCGCCGGATGTTCAACAATGGGCGGATTGATGACTCACTGGGACTTTTCGTGGACGTAGCGTGGCCAGGGCGGCGGTGGGGAGGAGGCAATAGAGACGACGGGTAACGTGAAAGGGCCAATATAAGGCCAGGAGAACCACGCCCCAGTCTTCTTGTTCTAGAGGCGTCGGCGACAGGTGATGCGCGTGTCTGTGCGAGTAGGTGCACTAGGGCGAGGGCCGGCAATTCATTGTCGTGACTTGCGAGACGCGTAGATGGTCTCAAGGTAGTGCGGTGCTTCACGCAAGGAACATCGCTAGTATGTTGCGGTATGGTAGCCGTTCGTAAATTATCTATCCTTGTAATGGGTCTATTTATTTAGTTTATTGTAAGCAGGTCAGTTGTTTAATTGAGACTACGGTCTAGATTGTGAATAAATCTACTGTTTTACAAACCACCTCGTCTGTGTTCCAATTACATCCTTATGACGCCACAATAGTTATCGACGTATGTTTAAAGTAAGCGGTTGCTAATAACTTCATACAAATTTTACCAGTAAACTGAAGAACTTTTTTTTAGAATTGATGACTAATTCAGTATTTATATGTTACGTTCATGTATGATTATTTTATTTTCAACGAACGTATTTTGCGGTCATTTTGTTTTTTTGGCGACGGAGACATACGAACAAGTAGGTCTGAAACTACATGGCTTAAAACTTTAACTTCTTCGTGTATCTTGGATGCCGTTGGAAGGAAGTTTTGAACACAAATTAATAATACATGGAACTATTTTCATCTTCATTATAAATTTTCAATGTGTGCAGTAATTGAAAGAAGAGTATGCAGTACTCTTTGAAGGTGTCTAAGGTTTTGTTAGATACCCAGGAACTCGGGGACAACACAAACACAATGAGAGTTTCCATTTTGACTGAAAAATACAAAAACGTGTTATTCCACCTATTCTCATTCTGTGCATAGTGACTTAATTCCCACACGCAGTGCGTCACTGCTTACAATGTGTCTGACGTCATGCAAAAGCAGTTCCAAGGCAGAGACCGCCTGCCATGAAATGTTTGCTATTGACGTAATGCGTTATGGACCAGCAACGTCTTTGATATTATTGGTATGTAAAGAACTGTTATAATGTAAATATTGCGACCTCTTTCCCTACCTCTACACAATACTTCTCGGTACCATACCTGTTGCCGAGAGTGTCTTGGTGCTCGGTATTATTGACTGCAGTGGGTGTGACAGGTTCTGTGTCCAACATTTCAAAATAATTAAGTGTTGGAATGTTATATACAGTGTTGTTAATAAATACAAATGATACTGAAGATGTAGTATTTTCACTCGTTTAGCTGAAGAACTACTGGCCACATTCGTACAATTTCTTGTTGACGAATGTGTTTGGATTGAGTAAGTTCGTTGACCTTGCAGGCCCCTGTGGTTGCAATAGAAAGTTTGAGTGAACCTGATGATACTGTTTGATTGCATCGCAGACGTTATATCTGCCTGAATTAGTGGTGTGGTGTAGGCCAGTCGACCGAGGTTTCTGTTGCTCGATCGACTTGTGTCGATCGAGCCGTCCGTCGATTGTGCCGTCCGGCCGCCTCCACGAGGTCGACCCTTTGGTACTAGGCTTGAACATGATGTAAATAAATATACAAATCTCGGAAGGCGTGTAAGGGAGTAGTTTAAGACGTGTAAGTTTATCACTTTTTGCCAATTATCAATTTGTAGGCAGTTAATCGTCCATTGATGTTGGCAGGTACAATTCTGACGCAGAGAAATATCGTGTGCCCAACACTGTGTACTAATCAGGGGCAGATGTTACATGTGTAACTTTGTAACATGGGATTTCCCACCACATGCTTATTGACAAAAAGTACTCATCTTCTCCTCCCACATACCATAGAAGCTTGTAACATTTATTCTGTGACACGTGTTTGCACCAAGTGTCCTTGTGCACGTAGGTGCTGCGCTTCTTCTGCGTGTGGGACGACCGCGACACGGAGCTGGGCGAGATGCGGCCCTACGTGCTGTACTACTTCCTGGAGGACGACACCATCTCGGTAGAGGAGGTGCACACCCCCAACGACGGCCGCGACCCCTGCTGCGTGATGCTGCGGCGCATGCGGCTGCCGCGCGACTGGCGCGACCTCCCAGGTGCGTGGCACTTGCCTTTACTGCACTGGCGGATTTTCAGAGGCCAGGCCTCTCCGCAAAATTGATTAACAACACTAAATTATATACATTTTGGAACTTAAAATTGTTAGAATTAACTTTGTCTAAAACTGACACATGTTTATGGTTGGCGAGTAAATATTTAAAAGATGTCGTTTTTCTTACTGCAAACAGAACGTCACAATACAAAAAAAGCCAAGCAGTTATATGCGTTACACTGCCGTGACAACATCCCTCAACCAATTCGAAAAGGGTAGTTTCGTTTTGTCCATTTGGAGTTGGTTTGGCGCGGAGGCTCTCACGCGTCTAGCCTTTCCTGCGAAGGCGTGATGCGATCGTAGAAATTGGGTGCTCTGTGATTGTGCGTGATACCTCTGACACTGTGCGTATGCGGGGGCCAGCTGTCTGCGGCCACGCGACATTGTTTACTAATTCATGGAAACTTAAAAGTGCTCTTGTGGACTTTCTCAACATGCGAGGTGATAGTTATGTTGATTCATGTCGCACTACTTGTTTCGTATACTACTTTGCAGTATGCAACTGTCCCCGTGTGTTCTTTGCAGTACGCCATGCGCAAACCGCAAAATAACCTTTTCCAATCACTAAACAGTTAAGGTAAGTATTAGTTTCCACGCTTGAGTGGTGCATATGAAATAGGTTGAATTCCACACACAGCTTTGGCTGGGAAAGGAGCGCAATAGTAATAGGTGGGCGCGCCCGCCATGCGCAGTGGACTTCCCGTCGGTTGTGCTGGAGACCACGGACGAAGAAGTCACCTCGTACTACACGCCCTCGGACCTGGTCGTGGGGCGCACCATCTTCGTGCTGGGTCGCCGCTTCTTGCTGTACGACTGCGACAGCTTCACCCGCAGGTACTACGAGCACATGCTGCACATCACGCAGCCCGGGCCCGTGCAGGTGTTCGAGCCCCCCAAGCCGCCCAAACCGATCGTAAGTACATGTTCACGGATATAAAAAGTTCCAAGTACAGAAATTCATTTACGAACGTCACTATTTACACTGTCAATTAGTGTTAGAAACGTTTTTAAGTGTGTGTATGTCCCTATTAATAATTTAATATCGTAATTTAATCATTCTACATTATTTGAAGCCAATACACTCATCAAGCTACTATTATCAAATTCCATCTGTCCATTTATGAGCGAATTATTAAGAGTAATTTTTCCAACGATTTTTTTAGGCTTCATTCCAAGAAATTGAATCTCTTTACGAAGAACGATGAATATTAAAGGGTAGCAAAACAAAATAATTGTCTATCAGTTAATATATTTTCCCTCTGAATCCTTCCACAATCATCGTTAAATTTTTGAGGGTTCGAGTCGTAGATCGCGGGTTCGAGTCCCGCCTCGGGCATGATTGTATTTGTGTTGGTGATGTCACCCCTCACCCTAACCATATCACATCATAATGTTAACCATATCGTTAGTATTTAATATTCGCTAATAACCTTCCATGCTGATGCGACCTTAAATTTAAAAACATATTTGTTAATATCTGTAGTAGTGGCTTTAGAAAGGTCTACTTCAAAACTAAAATAATTAATTTGAAATTAAATATTGGAAACCAATATATTTTTTTAATATTACTTTAATTTAATATTACTAGAAACAAGCGCAAGCTAACATAATAATCATTGATTCTACACACATATTTCTGTTGCTAAGCCACAAATCGTCATTTACTCCTAGAAGGGAACCTATCTTACCTAATTGTAAGATGTTTCATTATCCAAAACACCTAAATATAAATTCTTTACTTTTTTAGCAATATTTCACATCATGAAATTCATAGTCAGTGTCATTCATTGTTTCTCTAAGTTTAGTAATAAGAATATCCAAATTTCTGATTCTCGATTCTAATGTATCGTGAACTTAATGGGATTTTTTCCCACTAGCTGATCCAGCAAGAGGAAATGTTATATACACTGTTAGCTATCAAAAAATTGCAGTCAACAGTGCGTATTTAGTATTTGTTTAGATAAGACGCAAGTACTAGTGTGAGCTTTGTTAAATATCAATAAAAATAAGGCTACTCGAATCGGAATTGAATGGTAAATATTCTTTTAAACGTTTTGTTCAATGAATAAAAACGAACTCAAAACGGCACTGTTTGGCGAAGGCGATGGAAAAAAGCCTGCGCCGTTATCATTTTTATTACAACAGAGACATCTATAGCCCATATTTCGTATTATTTCACATCCCATCACAAAAACAGTGATGCTAAAAATTCTCATTCTTTCTAGCATTATTTCTAACTTTTGCGTAGCATTATTTGTAACTTTTTTTAGTAAATTCAGTGGTGGTAGCAGATATGTTGTGGTACTTAATAATGTGTCTTAAGAAATAATCAAACTACAACAATAATAGTTTTAATATTTATTAAAACATCTCAAAGCTGTCAGGATCACTTCAGTGAGTGTACACTATTTCATAAGGTTACTTTGGTATATTTGCGAAAAATAAATTAAAAAAAATAATGACGAGTTGAGGAAATATTTTAAAATTTCCTTCTCTTCAAGCAAACATTTACAGTTTTAACTAATATAGAAATGATCCTGTCCTTGAAGAATATTTCATGAGGGAAAAATGATCTTTTATATTGTACTTTTATGAAGACACCGAAATAACTTTGAACTTTTGCAATTTTAGAAAATTGTGAGTTCAGAGAAAATTAGACCTGCGCCAATATTTAGACAATCAAAAAAAATAGGTAAATATTAAATAACAGCGATACATATAAATTCGTACAAGAAGGTGATTTCGTCTGATCTCCGAAACGAAGAATAAATTTTAGTGATGTTCTAAATGCAACCGTGGTGATTCCCTGACCGGTCCGTTACAAAAAATATCTGCTAGTCAGATGTTAATAACAAAGTTGAGTAGAAAGCTCACATTTCTAAAATAAAATCCTTTGTGTTTAACGTAGATATTATTATTATTATTATTATTATTATTATTATTATTATTATTATTATAGATGGTAAGATTTACGTGGGTTTGGAACATATAGGATCACTCAGTAGATTCCAGCAATTAAGACTTTTGTAGTTTGTACATTTATTAATAACTGAACGTTTCGCATACTTAGGATGTGCTCTGTCAAGAGTAATATAGACATTGAAAACAGGTTGACAAAAGCGTAGACAATACAGTTTAACATAATAAAAATAAAGGAATACATAAGGATTAAAATCAGTATGCACAATTTGGTGTTTGCATCAGAGTATAGCATATTACATGATGAAAAGTATCCAAAAACGTTACTCAGTTCCGTGTAATGACTCTTAACACGTATACGTAGGCTTCCGCGGCGGGAGTCAATGCATACAGCAGTATAACTCTGAAGGCCACAGCAAGATGGCCGAAACGTCAGTAACATTGACCGAGACGCGGCTCATCCCGGATAGACAAGAATGCACGTATACATAGGAGACACCATGCAAATTCTCAGCAAACGGGTTTATCAGTATAAATACAACATCAACAAAGATGCGACACAATTTTCCTCTTTGACTAAACACAGAACAGGGCTTAACCGCTACATTGGGTTTGATAAAGTTAACATTTTACACCACGAAAAACAAACCTCAAAAAGACAAGTTGCCGAAATAATATATTTTACGTTAAATGATGCGATGAACACCACAAGTGACCTACAAAAACTTTATCAAGTTTATAAGTCGTTGCTAATGAATCATTTTTACTTACATTTGCCAACTCCACTGTTCAGTCTTTGATGCCCTGAATTTACAAACTTTGTACTTCCATTCCTTATGTCCGAATGGTCCTTTCGGAGGCAACCCAATAAGTATTAATAAACTGAACAAAATAACGGGAATTGACATACTTTTAGTAAAGAAACAGTCGAAGATGTAATGTGTTTCTTATTTCTTAAAAATCTGACGACACTACTGCCTTAGCGATCCTGGCTATTCGGATTGGTTGTTGTTGTTGTTGTTATTTTTATTATTATTATTATTATTATTATTATTATTATTATTATTATTATTTATAGATTATTATCTGATGTTGCTTTGTAGTAGAAGTAGTACCTAGGAATTTAATATAATTCGCAGCTCTATTTATCCATTATTCTCATTACAAAATTCGTCAATCGACGTGGCATTTTTATTGGAAATTTAATTAATGCCGTGCAGTGTTGCGCAGAACAAGGTGCACATAACAGACCGCATCACATTGCGCCAGCTTCGCGTAGGCCACCAATTCTAAGGGACCGCGCATTCGTCGCAGCTCGCTTCTCCCTTCCCTCCCACTCGTCACTTGCGTCGATAACGGACTTTCTACCGCCCCACCCGGCGACCACGCCCGCCTCGTGGCGCGCCCTCATTCCGTCCGCCTCCCGCCTCATCGCCTTCATCGGCCCTTTGCTTCCCCACTACTCGCTTCCGGAACAGCCGTATCGTCCAGCTGTAGCCCATCCCCTCCGACTCTGCCGCCCCCGTCTCGTCTCCTCAGCATCAGCGCTGTCTCTGGCGCCTCCGCCCTGCGACCCTCACTTTCCTTACCGCTTCCGCTGTCTCGTCGTTTCTGCGACCCTCTGTGGCATCTCCTCCGACCCCCGCTCTGTTTGACCCTGTTGTTTGCCCGGAGATATCATCGTATCCGCTGTTTCTTCGTGTGCGCTGTCAGCGAGTAAGTCACCCCGCTATAGCGACCATTCGTCCGCATCGTCGTCGGTCCTGTTGTCGAAGCCCTGGAGGCTGCAGAAGCGGAGGTGGTGGCCCCGAGCTGTTGTTCTGAGCTAATGATGCAGTATGCGTGGGGACGAGCGCATGTATCATACTACTATCCATTCCCAGATGATCTCCCAGACTAGTAGGATATCAAGTAGTATTGATCTGTATCTAACACGAGTGCTCAAAACTAATTGTAAGTAGAGAAGGTCATAGCAGAATATTTCAAAGGCCATAGTCGGTTAAAATTGCTCTGAATAGTAGGAAGTCAACATCAAACTAGTGGTGGTGCAGAATGGCACGGACTTAGTCGTACTAGTTGGATTACTAATTTCTTTGGTCTGGGCTAGTTTTTGCGTTTGGCCCCATCCTCTTTCCAGCTGCCAGATATCACCATCCAATCTGCATTTTTTTCACTTTTTCTCAAATGTTCGTTCTCCTAATAGTAGAACTGAAACTTGATGTTAGGAATATTATAGAAGAGTTACACCATATCTTGGGTTTTTCTTTGAAAAATGTGGAGCCATTTTTGAGAAACTTTTACTTAACAGTTTTTGAAAATGCGCATTTTGAAGCTCATTTTCACAGAAAACTTTCGCGTTTCCGAAAAACTTCATTGTATATCATTCGAAGCAATTATACTCACAAATGCAATAGTGTATGCAAAGTGCTGGTAATGTAAATATTAACGACGAGAAAGATATTTCAAAATTACATTTCATCATTTTGTGAAGAAAAAAAACCAAAAAAGGCAGAAAGTTGGAATTTATGGCATATTATTCAGCCATTGGAGCATTACCGTACCAAAAAATAAAAAGGACATTTGGAGGCGTTTTCGACAAAATGGCGATTGCAAGTTGTGATAATGAGAATTCGACCTCATTTCAACGAAAACTTTATAAGACATCATTTGAAGCACTTCATAAATGCATACAAATCGCCGTTGATGTCAATATTAACGACTCAAAACATTACATTTGTAAAATTTTTGAAAAAACAAGAGAGCAAAATTGCGTTTATGCTCTTACAGTAAATTTAGCACTATTACTGCAAGGTTTAAAGAAAAAATAGGAGTGGTTTTTCAGAAATTATTGTTTTTGATATTTTTTATATTGCACACATTTCATGCAATATTGTTCAAAAACTATTAACGCTTTCAGATAGAGTTTTTTTTCCTTCAAAAAGGAAAAATCTTTATCTTCAATGTTGAAGGAAGCCGCCGAAATACATTTCAAAC